CGGAGGCACTTGGCAGGGCTGCTTGTCTCTGAGGGACCTGCCGACGACAGCGTGCGTGGAGCTGGGTGAGTGCTGCCCGTCTTCGGGTGGCCATGGGGTGGGACGGGGGCTCAGCACACGGTCACACCATTGGGAGGGAGGCCCTGGACTCTGGTGACAAAATCTCACCAAGTGGACACGCCAGGACCACCAGGCCTCTGCGTCCCTGCTCAGAGCTGCCTGCCTGCCCATGGGGTGAGACCTGTCACTGAGGGCGGCTCCCGGCGGCCAGAGGGGTCCCACCCCTGCCCTGGAGGCAGCCACTGGGGATGGAGGACTTCCCTTGTGCAACACACAGGCTCTGCAGCTACGTCTGGATCCCACGCTGGGCCCCGAAAGTGAATGCGCGGATACCCCAATGCCACGCCCGGGGCCGTGAAGAGACACGCTGTGCTGGAAGTGCTGGTGGAGGGCCTGGGGCCTGGGGCCCACAGCCACACGGATCTGGATTCGGACAGAAGAGGACCCCACCCTGTGCCACCCTGACTGTGGCCTCTCCAGGCCCGAGCAGAGGACCGGCCACACAGAACCTGTGCTCCTGACCCCCGAAGCTCTTGCAATGAGAACAGGACAGCAGAGCACACATGTTGGCCCCCCACAGCAAGGAATGTCCATGGCCACCTGCAAACACACATTTTCTATGACTGGGAGTGGCCCCCCACGAGCTCAGAGAGTGCCATGGGAGACTCGGAGAGGCTCTTGGGATGGGCTGGACGCACCTTGGAGGGCACCACACACGTGACCAGCAAGGTTGGGGTCCAGTGCCCCATGGGATCTGCACACGGACACTCGGGGCGTGGTCTCTGGGCAGCACCTCCGCTCAGACCAACGCCTTGGCTGCCAGCCTCGTGGCACTCCTGCCAGCTCATGGAAGGTCACATCAGAAGACAACACTGATGTCCATGGTGCAGGATCGTCCTGGCGTAGCCATCGTGGATGGTGCAGTGTGACAACAACTCCTGGAAGAAACAGCACCCGAGTCCTGAAGAAGGCTGCTCTGTTAACAGCTAAGTAAACAGAAAAGTTATCTTGGAACGGAGGAGAAAATTGTGGTGCAGGATTTGCAGAGCCAGCACAATCCTGCAGAGGAGGCTCAGCGTGCAGAGCAGACTGGTGGGCAGGCACACGTGTGCAGCCGAGATGAGCCCCAGGGCCCTCGGCGAGCGGAAGGGCCCCAAGGGACGCACGGACAACACCTGCCAGCCTCAGGGTGTGTGGCTGAGGCAGGGTGGAGGCAGCGAGGACAGAGGAACTGGCCTCACCTGGTGGACCAGGCGGACCACTTTCCCACAGCTTCCTTTGATCGGACCATCCAGGCATTCACCCATGAACTTGCAGTGCCCACGCCCTATTCCCTAATTAGACTGCCAGCTGCTGTGCACTCTCTCTCTGCCTGACCCTTGTTCCTGCCTCACAGGCCCGGGCACAGAGGACTGCCCTTCCTGTAAAAGTCTGACCTTCTTTCCTATTGTGATGTGTTGGATTTGCACCTGTCATCGGAAGAACCAGGGGCTGCCCCTGGCACACGAGTCGGGCTCCGGCGTAACTGGCACCGGCCAGTATGAACAAGTGTCCCATGTGAGGGGCCCCTGGTCACAGGTCAGACAGCCAGGCATCGGGCCATCCGCCAGGCGCAGGAAGTGTCCGGTGAAAGGCGAATGGTGAACACTGCGTCTGGCCCCCTTCATTTCCTGGGAGGGCGGCGTTGCTGGCCGCTCTGGTGCTGAAATCCCCTTTAGCTGGGGCACACGATCCTCACCTGGGCCACATGGGGGTGGCCAGGCCACCACAAGGCCACACCCGGGCAGACACCAGCCCACCAGCCTAGGCAGAGCTGCCCCCAGGGTCCAACCCGGCCTGCCCATGGGCCTGCATCTGTCCTTCCTCGCCACGGGCAGGACTTCACTGTGTGGACACACCACGGTTTGCTTTTCCAGCATCTGTCAACAGACATTTGGGTTGTTTCTCATTTTTGCTATCACAAAAAAGCTGTCACGATCATTTGTGTAAAGAAAAAAAAGCCAGCCCCCAGGAAGGGCCCTGAGAGCACCCCAGGGACTCTCTGGCTGTGCAGGGTGCACTCAGGAGTGGCCTGAGGCTGCCCTTTGCTGAGCACCTGCCCGTCCACACGTGAGGCCACAGGACGGACCTGCATCGCCCGGTCTGGGACCAGAGGGGGCCTTCCCAGCAGGACAGGCCTCTCGGCTGCTGGAAAACAACCCTCTTCGAGGCACTGCTGGCTGGGTCGGGTGTGCAGGACTCAGCACCAGGGATGTGACAAGGACAAGTCTTTGGGAACATGAAGTATGTTTTCCAGGCTGGGCATCCGGAGCTGAGGACCCCATTTCTTCATATGTTGTGGGGGATCCCCACGTGACCCATAAGTCCCAGGGCCAGTTGACACAAAGGCTGGCCTGGCAAAGCCTCGTGGCCCTCCTGTGGGCACCAGGGAGGAACTCAGGGGAGGACCTGGTAGCCTCACTGCTCTGGGCTGGCTCGGACCCTGGCGTTCTGGCAAAGGTGGCTCCATTGCCGTCCCAGGCAGCTCAGCTGAGTGAGCAAAAGCCCTGGGCCACCAGCTTTCCATGTGACATTTGACATCCGTGACGCCTGGGAAGCTAGAATCTGCCTGGGGGGTGGGACCCGGCCTGCCCTGTCCACCCAGACCTGGACACATGGCCCTGTCGTGCACAGGAGGGTGAGGACCTCACAGCTGTCACCGCCTGGTCTCCACCCTGCACACCAAGAATAAGGAACAAGATGTGCCCGGGACACTGCTCGATGCCATGCGGCCTCCGGGGCGGCCCAGGCCGGGCTCTGGTCAGCTACCTGTGATCTGTCCTGTTTGGGCCTCAGACGCTGGGTCCTCCCACCCCTGCCAGCAACACCTCTGCACCATCCCTGGGTAAGGCGCCGGCAGCCAACAAGCCCCGGCTCACCTCAGCCAGCGGGAAGCACGTTTCTGGGCACGGCTGACCTCACGTGGACTCACAGCCCTGTCCCTGCATGTGGAACGCACACCTCGCCACTGTGGGGCCTGGTCTGTTCCTGTGAACAGCAACAATGCCAAAGATGACGGGGACATGCACTGGGGGGAGGGGCGGAGCCCACCCCTCGCCAAAAATGTGGGCCTCGGGTGAGTCCAGAGGCTGCAGGGCCCTGTGCCCAGGGGCCCGGGGTGGAGCTGTGGGGCAGGGGTGTGGAGGTAGGCTATGGGGCAGGGGCCCCTCCTCCTGCCACCTCTGTCCCTGGGACACTGGAGCTGACAACTCCCCATGCTCGGCTGTGACAGGCTGTGACAAGTGCCCAGAGCAGGGCTCCCTCAGCACCTGACGAGGGACCCTTGCTACAACCTAAACCAAGGTCCCTTCCTCTCCCTGATGTTTAAGTGTTGTGACGATCCCTCCAGGTGTGTCCCCCAAACCTGCTGGCCAGCTACAGGACACTAGAGGAGAATCAGTGTGGTTCTCTCCAAGGGAGGCCCGGGATGCTGGCAGCCCGGGACGCTGGCAGCCCGGGACGCTGGCCAGGCCAGTGGCCGAGCCGGTGGCCCCTGCGCTTGGCATGGGCTGCACTCCTGCCCCGCACTGACATCCTGGTGTGTGGTGGCAGCAGTCCCCACTATAATTTCTTTCGTTTGTTTGAGACGAGGTCTTACTCTGTCACCCAGGCTGGAGTGCAGTGGTGCCATCACAGCTCACTGCAGCCTCCAACTCCTGGGCTCAAGTGATCCTCCTGCCTCAGTCCCCAGAGGAGCTGGGACTATAGGTGCCACCACTATGCCTAGCTAAGTTTTTTATTTTTTTGTAGAGACGGGGTCTGGCCCCTGCCCAGGCTGGCCCACTGTAACTTCTGACCTGCGAAGGAGAGCAGGGACAGGGCCCTTCAAGGAGGCCAGTCGGTTCTCACGGCAACTCTGTTCCTCCAATGGGGTCGTGAGGTCCGTGCTCCAGCCCCTCCCACCGCAGACAGGTGGGGCCCATGTGACAAATCCTCTAACAGCCACTGCCCCAGGACTGGGAGCCCTTGCCCCGCGGTGCACCGAGGCCATTGGGCATGCCCACCTCACTCAGTGCAGCCACCCTCTGGGCCGCATCCCTCCCGCCTGCCGGCAGAGCCCTCCCCGCCCACTGCCCACTTTCCTGTGGCCTGTCCCATGCATGGACCTGGGCCGTCCATGTTCTGCCAGCTGGGCCCCACATACTCCTGCCTGGAACGCTGGAAGCTCCCAGCTGTCCTGCCGGAGAGTGGTGCCTCCTCGGGTCACCCCCAGCCCAGGGCCTGCTGGACTCGAGTCTGGGTCCAGGGCTAGAAGCGCGTGTGGGTCGGCGGGGGCCTTGCAGGGCAACTGCCTTGGGTGAGGCCACCAGGCCTTTGGGGAGAAGGGCTGGCCTCAGGTGGGGTTTTTGGGGTCCCCTCCTTCCCCATCAGTGCCCAGCTGCAGGCACAGACACCGGTCAGGCTGGGCTTGGCCACGCAGTCCTGGTGCACCGCCTGCCCCAGTGGCTCAGTCCTGCTTCCTGCCGCGTGGGCCGCTGCGCGTGCAGGTCATGGCGGCTGCGACTGTGGCCTCCCTGGCTGCGAAGGGCTGGGCCTCCTACTCCCGCCCTCCTGCATGCCGTCCAGCACTGTCTGGAGATGGCCCCAGCCAGGCTTCCATCCTGCCGTCCTTGGAGACGGCGCGCCCCTTCCCGGCACGGCGAGTCCCGCTGCCAGCCCTGCCATCCCCTTTTCCTGCCGCGTTCTCTAGGGAGTCCAGTTACTTCCTTTTCCTGACCCCGTCCTCACCCTGCACGTGGAGAGCTTTTGCGGGCAGCTGCGTGGGTGTCCACAGCCTCCTGCAGCCTGGCCCTGGGGACCCTATGGGGGCTGCCCTGCCCTGCCCAGGGGGCACCTGAGGCCTCCAAGCCTGAGTCGGAGAACCAGGGGACGCCTCCTCAGAATCCTCCCACTCGAGCCTGCAGGTTGCCAGTAGGAGGTTTACTGTAAAACGCTCTCAGGGTGGCCACACGCCGGCCCGGCCAGCATCGCCCCGGCCGCAGAGCCCCAGGTGTCCCGCTGGTCACGTGCTGACGCGTCTCACGAAGGGAAAGCCGGCGCGAGAGGAGATCGAGGGCTCGGTGATCCCTGGGCTGACCTGCTGGCGCTCGGGGGCCCTTGTGGGGCGGGGCAGCTTCTAGTCAAGGCAGGAGCCGGCGCCCACCTCCGTCCCTCCGTCTCTCAGAAGGGCGCAGGTCACGGGGCGGGTAGAGCGACCAGACGCTGATGCGCTGATCCTTGGACCCCGCGGCCAGCAGGCCACCGGTGGCGGCGAAGGCCACGCACTGGACGGCAGCGCTGTGCGAGGCCAGCACGGCCAGCGGCCTCATTGTCCGCCAGTGGAACACGCGGACACGGTGGTCCCAGCCTGCGGTGGCCAGGACCCTGCGGTCCGGCCGGATGGCGACCTCGGCGACTCCAGCATTGGTGAGTTCATGAGTCCCATGCACCTGGGGAGTGGGCAGCAGAGAGAGGCGTCAGGCTGCTCCTCGGCCTGCCATAGTGGCCCAGCTGGAACCAGGAGAGCCGGGCAGCCTCGGGACATGACGAGAGAGCTGTGTGCTCCGCCCCGCTGGCTCCTCCTCCTCTCCCCCTCCTCCCTGGGAGCCCCTTGGCTCTTTCCGACCCCTCGGGCCGTGCCGTGCCAGAGGACTTCGGCCTATCCCTCGGGGTGGTCTGTGGCCCTGCCCAGCTGCACCTAGGCCTGCTTGGACTGATTCCCTCCCCCCGACTCCTCCCACTCCCGGTCCCAGGAGAGACCTCTGTGGGGCCCCTCATCCCAGGGAAGACACCACATCCTAGCACCTAGCAAGAGTTGAGGTTCCCAGTCGCTCTCTAGAAAATCCTCAGCAACCACCCCAAAGCTGACGAGTGTGAGAAATGCAAACTCCAGCCAGGAACTGTGGCACACGCCTATAATCCCAGATACTTGGGAGGCCAAGGCGGGAGGATCACTTGAGGCCAGGAGTTTTAGACCAGCCTGGGCAATATAGCAAGATCCCATCTCTAAAGAAAATAAAAGGAAAGAAAGGAAAAAACCTCCAAACTGGACAGAGGTTGAAGAGCCACCAAGAGTGGGAGGTGGAGGGTGTGGGCAGCATGAAAGAGACAACACTGAGGTGGCAGGAGGAGCAGCATGCCCCGCCCGGCAGGAGGAAGCTGACCGCCTGGCCTGGTTCTGAGAAGAGGGCAAGGCGGTGGCACAGCGTGAGGCCCATGCTACGTGTATGGAGCCATTAGGAGGCTGGCCACCCTCTGGGGCCGAGCGCCCCCAACTCAGTGCCGGCCCCTCCCAGACACATGCCTCATGCAGGAAGCAAGGATCTCCCAGAGGAATGGTGGCCCCTGTGGTTGCAGCAGTTCTTGGTCCTATAGGACTGTCCTGGGTACTGCAGGGTGCCTGGCACCTCTCTGCCCACACACTAAATGACAGAGCACTTTGCCACCATGGTGACAACCAACAGTGGCGGCCTCCTTCCACACCAGCCCTGCGCACCCTGAGCTTTTGGTCAGCACCCTCTTCCCTGAATGCCCCCCAATGGGGCCGAGCCACTCTCAGGCGAGAATCGTGCTTCCCTGCAAAGACGGTATGGGAAAGAGATGGAAGAAAACAGGAAACACAATGGCAGCATCCACCAGAAGCCAATTTTGCTTGTCACCAAGCAATTTTGCCGTAAGTTAACAGAACAAAAGAAAACTTAACGAATGAAGTTACCTCTGTAAGTTACTCTATAAAACAAGGACTCAAAGCAGCAAAATGCAGGGGAGGAAACCCAGCCTGGTGGGACTGGGAAAGAAACAGGAAGAAAAAATTCAAAGAATGAAGAGGAACAGACACGCTTTAGTCTGACAGTGAAGGCCCAGAGGGCAGGCGTGGTAAACAGTGAGAAAGTGACAGGGAAACAGAGTCAAATGAACAGCAGAGAAAACAGCAGACATGGAAGACAGGCGCAGGCCCTAGCAGCCACTGGTTTGGTAGCAATTTTAATTTCTGTAAATTGAAGTCTTACGATCCAAGTCCAAAGAAAGGCTATAGAATGGTGAACATTAAGATAGGCTCTAGTAAGTTACTGGACTGGACAGCTAAAGAAAAGCCCTCTTGGTAGCCAGGCAGGAAGATCACATGGCGAGGGGACTGTTGCGTGGCACGCCCAAGCCAGCGCACAGTGGGGTGACGCCTGCCGAGATGGAGGGAAGCACAGTCCAAGAATTTTATATCCAGCCAAACTGTCGCTCAAGTACAAAGACAACAGACAAGCGTTTTTGAACTTGTAAGAACTCAAAGAATATTGCTCCCATAAGCTCTTCGTAAAGGACTAGAAGATTAACTCCAATCTTGTAAGAGATACTCGGAGAACTACAGCAAATGGTCTGGCAGATAGCACTGAATGTACTTTACCTACAGGATTAGCCCTAAAACAATATGGGGATTATGGCTACAGAACCGGTTATGTAACTAACAAACGTGGGCGGGAACCAAGAGGGTGGGATGAAGGCCGAGTTCACGGATTTGCCCATCTCTTGTCATTTAGGGCAAAAATACAACAGATATCTGGCAGCCCCTGTAAGTAATGACAAGAGCAGCACTGTTTCCTTCTCCTCTCCCGCCCGATGACAGTGGGTGCCTTAGTTTCCTAGTATTTGTCCTTGTACATCTGTATAAACTAAGAAAAATGTAAATATACTCCACAGTTTCATGATTGGATTCCAAAGTCAAGTCCGAATCTGCGCTATGTGTGAGACAGACTCCAAAGCAACAGCGGGTAGAGATACAGTAGCAGTAGGAGAATGCAAACAAGAGAACAGGGCCCCTCTTAAGTGACACTGCATGTGATACTGAACAGGGATAAAGGGTACAGTTCCCTGGGAGCAGCTATAAATGTCTGTCCAGCAATTAACAGGCTTATCATCCATAAAGCAAGAGTGACAGGAAGTAGTTATAACAGAGCAACTGGTACCAGACCAGTCCTCTTGCTGCACACAACCATCAGCGTGGACAAAATGTCTCAGGCGACTGTTTCCAGGCACAGGACATCAGACAGAGAAGGGCGGCTGAGGAGGTGGGCTCCCCAGTGGCCGGGCCACATCCAGGCAGAACAGAGCGGTCACAGCAAGCTGAAGAGGTCAGAACATGGGGCGGCCCGAAGGCTGAAGTCTGTGGGGGTGACTCAGAGGAACAGAGGGCGTTGAGGGCTGGGGTGACCACCTGTGGTTCCCCACCAGTCCCTGTGTTAGGGCTGGGCTGCACGTGCTCAGGGCAGACTACCCAGGACTTCCCAGAGCCACAGGGCTCATGACAGGTATGCGAGGCCAACAGTGCCAGGGTCAGGCTGGCCCAGGTGCAAAGACTATGTGACAACCCAAGACCAGCAGAGGCTCCAGAGTGGCCCGATTTCAGGAACAAAGACCCCATCTTAGAGTGAGGCCCACCCTAGACCTACTGTAGTAGAGCCAGAAACCAGGCCCTGACAAGGTCTGATGGGGAAGCAGAGTGTGGAAGTTGAGTCCCACCACCCTAGACAAGCCTGGAGTGACCTTTCCATGACCTGCCCTAGCAGAGCCAGAAGCCATGCCTACACAAGCTCATGGTGAACAGCCAGAACTGACATGTGCACTGGAATAAGTGCAAACACTCTTCCGAGCAAAGTAACAGAATCCAGAGTCTCCGTGCGTGTCAGTCTCACAATGTCTGACACCAACAATCAATCACTAGACATGCGGAGAAGCAGGAACACAAGGCCCACAGTCAAGGGGAAAAGCAGTTAATAGAAACTCACTCCCCAAACGTCATGGATGTTGAATGGATCAGATACAGACTTTAAAGAAGCCACTTAAATAGGTTTGAGAAATGAAAGGAAAATATAATCAAATAATTACAAAAAAGTTGTCTTGATGAGTGAGCAGATAGGAACTATTAGCATAGAAACAGGAATTATAAAAAAGAACCATAATAGAAAATATGGAACTAAAAAACTCAATATCTGAAATGAAAATTTTACAGGACAGGCTTAACAGAAGACTGGAAATTATGTTTTTCAATGAGTCAGAGAACTAGAAGACAGATCAACAGACATTATCTAATCTAAAGACAAGAAAGAAAAAAGATTGAGCAAAAATGAACAGAGCCTCAGGGACGCAAGGGCTATTATCAAACCATCTAACTTACAGAAGCCCCAGAAGGAGAAGACAATGAAAATGGTCAAGAAAAAAATAATGGCTGAAAATTTCTTGATTTTAATGAAAAACACCCATTGCTACTTTTTCTTTTTTCACTTACTGAACTTTTTCAAAAACACCAATTTATAGATCAAAAGCTCAGCAAAACCCAATCACCATCAGCAAAAAATATATACCTAAGCACAGGATAGTCAAACTACTGAAAACCATGGATAAAAATAAAATCTTGAAAGCAGCCATGAAGTAAGACACATGCTATGCATGGGAGTGATAAGGCATCATGAGTTGTCGGCAGAAATAATAGAACGACATCTTTATGTCTAAACAAAACCAAACCATCACCCCTAAAGTCTACAGCCAGGGCGCTTTTAAAAGGAGGATAAAATAAAGATAACTCTCAGATCAACAAAAGCGAGAGATTATTTTTGCCAGCAGAACGACAGTACAAGAAATGCTAGAAACTACCGGTCTGCAGGAAGAGCCCCAGAAATGGTAATGGATGAGTACATATACAATATTTTAAATTTCTTGCCAGTTTAAAAAAAAAAAAAAACCCTGATGATTTAAAGCAAAACTTCGTACTGCAAGGTGGAGTTATAATGTGTGCAGAAGTCAGATGACAGCAGCAGCGAGGGGGAGCGTGCCTCAGTGGAACTGCACTGGTGTAAGGGCAGCGCGCTCGAGAGGGAAAGTGAACAGCGCTGACTCCAGGAGACTTCGCTGCTACCCCGTGAGCAGCCACTCAGGAAAAAGCATGACAAGAGGTATAGCCGAGAAGGCAAGAGAAGAAGTAAAATAGAATACTAAAAAATAAACGATTAACACAAAAGCAAGCAGGGACGGAGCAAAAGAGGTAAAAAAAATGGAGGTGTCAAGTGGAAAACAAACATAGAGATGGTAGACTTAATCCCAGACACATCAAGGATTGCACTGAACACAAATAGATGAAACTTTGCTGCAATTAAAAGGCAGGGATTACCGAAAAAGATCAGAAAGCAAGATACAGCTATATTCTGTCTACAAAAGATAGCTTTTTAAACATAAAGAGTTGAAAACGGGTCGAATATGGACACAAGAAAAGGATGCACCACGCAAAGAGCAAACGTAAGTGAGTTGGTGCCACTGTTTGGCACCAGACAAAGCCAACTGTGCGGCAAGGAACGGGACGAGAAATGAAGCGGACTTTTCACAGTGAGAAAAGGGTCCTTCGCCAGGACGCCGTGACCAGTCTCGATGCTTACATACCCACAGCAGAGCTTCGAAACTCACAAAG